GCCGACCCGGTCGGCCGGTGCGGCCCGACAGGTGGAGCCGCCGCGGCGGGTGGAGATGGCAGTCAGATGGGGGTGGGCCGGGACTGAGCTGGGAGACGGCCGGGAGTGTGCGAGGACGGAGTTGGGGAGACAGCCGGGGCAAGACGGAGACGGAGCTGGGGAGGACAGCGGGGGGAAGATGGAGATGGAGCTGGGAGACAGCCGGGGAGTGTGCGGGGACGGAGCTGGGAGACAAGCCGGAGGAAGACGGAGCTGGAGCTGGGAGACAGCCGGGAGTGTGCGAGGACGGAGTTGGGAGACAGCCGGGGGAAGACGGAGATGGAGCTGGGAGACAGCCGGGAGTGTGTGGGGGCGGGGTCGGGAGACAGCCGGGGGTGGGCGGTGACGGAGCTGGGAGACAGCCGGGAGTGTGCGAGGGAGGAGTTGGGAAACAGCCAGGGCAGGCGGAGACGGAGCTGGGAGACATCCAGGACTGCGCAAGGACGGAGTTGGGAGACAGCCGGGAGTGTGCGAGGACGGAACGAGGAGGACAGCTGGGGGAAGACGAAGATGGAGCTGGGAGACAGCCGGGAGTGTGCGAGGACGGAGCTGGGAGACAGCCGGGGCAAGATGGAGACGGAGCTGGGAGACAGCCGGGGGAAGACGGAGATGGAGCTGGGAGACAGCCGGGAGTGTGCGAGGACGGAGTTAGGAGACAGCCGGGGCAAGACGGAGAAGGAGTTGGGAGACAGCCGGGCAAGATGGAGACGGAGCTGGGAGACAGCCGGGAGTGTGCGAGGACGGGGCTGGGAGACAGCCGGGGGAAGACGGAGCTGGAGCTGGGAGACAGCCGGGAGTGTGCGAGGACGGAGTTGGGAGACAGCCGGGGCAAGACGGAGACGGAGCTGGGAGACAGCCGGGAGTGTGCGAGGACGGAGTTGGGAGACAGCCGGTGGAAGACGGAGACGGAGCTGGGAGACAGCCGGGAGTGTGCGAGGACGGAGTTGAGAGAGAGCCGGGAGTGTGCGGCGACGGAGTTGGGAGACAGCCGGGAGTGTGCGGGGCGGAGTTGGGAGACAGCCGGGCAAGACGGAGCTGGAGCTGGGAGACAGCCGGGAGTGAGCGGTGACGGAGCTGGGAGGCAGTCGGGGGTGGGGCGGTCGCCGGAGCTGGGAGGCAGTCGGGGATGGACGGTAGATGACTGTTTCAAGAGACTTCGAGCGGCATTTAGTGTATTTCCTCATCACGCAAAGGCTGAGTATGGGTGCTTGTTTTAGTGCTATGCGTAAGTTGTAAAAGCTATGACTTGTTGGAAATATTCGCAAGGCGTTGCCATTTGAGCATATATGTGTGAATTGGGGACGAAAGGGTGGTCAAGGATGCTTACCAATTGTGATGCTCTGTAGAGGATGTACTCGTGATGTTATCACCAGTACAGGCAGCACCAATTTCCAACTGGTCGACAGGAGCCCATCTTGGACGTTTATAACCATGCCGGCCGGCGTGGTCTGTGGGCACAGTCCCTCAAACAAGTCGAAGCCTGAATGCGGACAGTACATGACTGTCGACTAGTCCCTCTAATAAGTAGCAGTGATACGGGCTCTGACCTGGCTGTAAAACTGTCTTTATTCGTGTAACTGATGCTCAAGAAATGTAGCATGCGATTCCGCACAGTCTGGGCTGGCCGTGAATACTATTACCGATTGTAATGTCCTGTAGAGGATGCACTCGTGGGGTTATGATCAGTACAGGCTCAGATGCAGATGCCGTTACCGTTGTATGCGCCCTGTGTCGCATGCAGTTGGGCACATTTATCTGCTTTAATTTGATGATTGCCATGAACATAAGTGCAACACTTGGAGTATGACTACACGCCTGCATAATCCCAACTAAATGTTGCATGTTCTCTTGCACCTCATTCTGACTGGTATGTTGTAAATGAAATAATTCGAAGTTAAGTTTGCTGGGCGTGGGGTGGAGCCATGTCTCGATCGAGCCTCAATGCCTAGAGCGGGCCTCAATGCCTCGATCGAGCGTCGATGCCTCGATCGAGCTTCGATGCCGCGATCGAGTCTCGATGCCTAGATCGGGCCTCGATGCATCGATCGAGCGTCGATGCCTCGATCGAGCCTCGATGCCTAGATGGAGCGAGCGCCTAAGACCTGTATTGCGGGCGTAAGCCCAGTATTGCGGGCGCGTTGGAGGGCGGGGTCGCGAGCCGCGCGGGGACCTCAAATGATGGGGATCAAAGTCACGTCCGTCAAACACATGTCGTACAGGAACACGTCTTTAATTCGCAAGCTCTCTCAACTTTGGAGCACTTGTGCACCTAACCTAATTTCTGCATATTAGATCCCTCGAGGCATATCCTTCCTAGACGGTCTTTAGAAGCGTGCCGACGCGTGCGGCACACACGCGCAGGCTGCGCGGTGAAAGCGAACCACCCGGGACGGGCAATGTCGTAGTGTCACATCACTCACTGTCGTAGTGTCACTCACTCACTCACTGCCGTAGTGTCACATCACATGCGTGAGGCGTGTCGGTACCGTGGAGATGGGCCGTATTGACCGAAAATGTGGACCATATTTCCATGCAGGGGCAACCTAACACGCGTGGCAAGCTTTTATGTTGCTGCGTTGCTAACTGCAAGGACATCATTCTGGGAACTGATTACTTGTAAGAATAATTTTCATATAAACTTGCCAAAGTTGAGCCAAGTCGTCACATGAATGCTGGATTACATGGAATCTTGCGATAAGGCTTCTAAAATCCCAAATCCCCAAACATACTTCGGCAAAGTTGATAGCAGCAATATGAAATCAAAGAACGGCGTCCAGGAACCCTTTAAAATGGACCCTGGAGCACAAGCGGTTTGTGCTTCAGGACTTATGGGTCCCATCACGGGATCTACGCCTGGGATCAAGGCGCATACCTTATCTGGGTGATGTGTAGCGCACGTCAACCGCCGGGGGGATCCAGGAGCGAGGCGAAGTTGGAACGCCTTTTTCACATATGCAAGCTGAATGATGCATAAATATTATTATCTTAGTATTACAGGTTGTTAGATACGCATAGTGACACAGTAAAACAAATAATGCATCTTCTAAACATGTCAACAAACTGCATTGTGGTACAAAGCGAACAAAACTGAGGGATGTGCAAGGGATCTATTTCGGTTTCAGTCGTCTATCAATGCCGTGATTCTTGCTGACTGTTGAGTGCAATCGACACTATGTCTACCTCAGCATGCGCATGCGCGGATGCACGCGCGCCAGCGAGTAGTCAGGCGATGTGGGTTAGGGAAAAATATTGAGTCGCAATCCGACGGATATTCTGGTGTTCGTGCTGTGATGATTTGCCCATAATTTTATCGTTTTACAACATGCATCTATCAAGGTACAACAGAGGAGTCAGAGAGGTGACTAAAAGGGGATGCAGTCTTCTTCGATATATGCGTTAGGTAAAGTGCTACAAGCTGCCTTTACAATGAATGATAATAAAATCGAGTGTTTCATGTGGGATTCCTGCCTTTGGTACTGACACAGGCATGCACTCTTGACACGTCCGCAGGTGGAGGTCAGTTTGAAACCCGGAAGGATTTTCCGAAATGGTTTCCAAACGGCGCGGCGAAGTCCCGCCAAATTTTGCATAGCTGTAGGCAGTTGAAAATCGGATCGTTTGATATCAACAATTTAGGTTTATCGTGTGAGATTGTTGACCTACGGCAAGTCAAAGTCAGACCACGGATTCAGCGGACAATTTCTAGGGGATCGTTTGTTCGTTCAATCGTTCTTTCGTTCAGTCGTTCGTTCGTTCAATCTGATGTAACAACGGAGTGTTAGAGGAAATCATAAATCTCTTAGTTTCTTAGGCAACACAACAATTGAATGAACAAATTCGATTGGCCTAGGGTAAGGTATGAATGTCAGGCCGAGGGTAAAACCGATATACTTTATAAGTCTAGAGGTTGCTGCATGCGGTGGTTTTCTGGTGCTTATCTTGAATGAACGATAGCAGCAACCACATCACACGTCTTTCATCGATTTCTTTAATGTCAGAATAGACACTGACCTAAAATGACACGGTTACATTTCGTTTTAGGAATATACTAATAACCTAATACCTATATACGTCACATATACCTATATACCACAATACCTATACACGTATACCTAATAACGTCACATTTTGACTCAAGTGAGTTCACAAGCATACCAACACACCATTTGTCTCCAGCTTTTTTAGTTCCTGAGATCTCAGAGGGGATTCAAATTGCCCCCAAGCGAGTGAATGATATTCAACCGGCCACCCGGGGGGGGGGGGGGGGGGTTAAAACTGCTACAGGTTCATAAACTGTTACAAACTGCATTTCTACGGCAAGGAATGAACTAAAAGACATAACAAATTGTATCTTTGCTGTGATGGTGTGCTTTCGCCCGCGGTCGTCCCATACCGTATGTTTATAAGGAAAAACTTCATCTCTTGACGCGTTGCGTTTATTGTCACCAACCATTCCATAGCAACAAAGCACAAGTTGAGAAACCTGTCAGAGCTGAAGTCCAGTTCGCATCCGCATTTTATTGCACCCACTCCCAACAACACGATAAACAATGAGACACGGTCCGCGTGTCTCATTGTTTATCCAATGTGTCTCGTAGGTCTTCTACGCATTGGACGATACAGACCGTGGTTTTACCCATTTTCCTTTCGAGTGAGCTGTTGGCAAAAGTGTCTTAAACATTATATATGACATAGATTTCACGCCCCGGCAAGAAGAGCCGACCATTAGAACGACAAGACTATTTCGGCAGATTTCGAGACTCTAAGCGGGTCAATTTACCCACAAAAATAAATGGAACGCAATCCGCCGCACGAGGATGTCGTTAAATGCCGCCATTGAACACAAACGTGTAGCGTATTTTTCGGAGCGTTGCCCCGACCTGGACCAACTTGTCAGCATCACACGACCCCTAACGTGTCCCCTACTGAGCGGCGCGCTCCGTTCCGTTCCGTTCCGGCAGCGGGGGCGGTGGCGTTCCGGGCGTGCCGCCGTTCCCCGTGCCTCCGTTCGTCATCCCCAACGAGGAGCACGGCGGCGAGCACACCTACGTCGGCAAGCGGAAGCAGCTGTACTGCCGGCACGGCGTGAACCTGGCCGTCCTGCCCGGCGGCCAGGTGGCCGGCACGCAGGAGCCGTTCAACAAGTACGGTACGTGGGGACGCCGAGTGGCTGCGCCACCGGCGGCTGGACCCCTTCACGCTTCGTTTCGCTCGGTGTCTTGTCGCCTGGTGGGAGATGTTCGGCGTTCGTATCGGGCGTTGGGACGGATATTTGAGACGTCTGCACTGGCCCCGCCTCGCGAAGGCAATGCTCGGCTGATTGCGTGGCGAAGCTGGTGCAGTCAAGCCACGGACCGTGCAGTGCTGCCATACTGAAAGCGAGACCTCATGCAGAGGTCTCGCTTCAGAGTCCATGAAGAGATTCCCCCACAGCGTACATCTTTATTGTTGCTTGCGTTTGCAGCTAATTTTGTGTGATTTTGGACTATAAGGGTGGCCAGGCAGTTCATGAGAGAGGACGGGTGAAGACCACTCCTTAGAGATGCAAACTTCCACCCATGTCGCAAACGCTTGGCAGCTTCGTGTGCGGATGCATTACGCGTGTGATCAGAAATATGATCAGAAATATTTTCAGTTAATCACAGCTACATGCGCTGCCCATCGCCTGACCGCCCTAAAAATATGTGCATTGCAGTTTGCACTGCAGTGGTGCAATGTAATGGATCTGAAGAAAGGGGAGAAGAAAGCACGCGATGGTCTGACTCAGTCTAGCCTCCTTAGATAAATCCAGAAGACTTTGGGCTCAGAGGCCAAGGTCGACACACGTCCCAAGACATCCTGTGTCTCTCAAGACTGACTATCCTGTGTCTCGCGGCATGTTGCCACTGTCACACCTTCCCGCTGATGGCGTGCGTCTGCGATCAGCCGTGCTGGAGGTGACTGCCGTCGATTTGCAAGAGGTGCGAATGCGGGCTGTGGAGACCGGACTATACGTGGCCATGGACGGCAGAGGGCGCCTCTACGGAGAGGTAAGTACTGCTCCGCGGCCGCACATTCTCACCACACATTTCTGCAGAGATTGGCGCAATGCCACTCGCCGAAATCGCGGGGGATAGCAATGGATCACACTGAGTCGAGTGATGGCAGCACGATATCATGTCGATATCGATATCAACGCGATATCATATCGAAAGCGACAAACGACCACTCAAATCACCAAAGTGCTAAATCGAGCAAACCGGGATAGAGCCGTTATGGCGGCATGCCGTGAATGGCGGCATGCCGTGCCTCTTCCATGTTGTCGCACCTGACAGAGCACGAAAGCTGAGTTGTTAGTATGCTCTGTTCTGTTAGTATGCTCTGTCGGCCGGCAGCTCTGCCGGTTAGCCCGGTTGGCTATCAGCCGGCCGCCTAAGTCGGTCTCCTCACTTTTGCAGCGTGACGCCGACCAGATTGGCTGCATCTTCGTCGAGCAGCTGGATGGCGGCTACCTGACCTACCTCAGCAAGAAGAACGCCCACTGGGGCTGGTACCTGGGCTTGAAGCGCAGCGGCCGGCCGAAGCCGGGGCCGCGGACGCGCTGGGGTCAGAAGGCCGTACAGTTCCTCTCCCGGCGAGCCACCCGGCCCGTGTAACGCCTCGCGGCGCGCAGGCGCGTCCAGGACAACGGTATGGGGTGACGCGTGCTCACCGGGAATGTCTCAGTGGTGGCCTCTGGAAGCGTCACGCCGCGTGGCATGCTGCAGGCGTCCACCAGCGTGACCTTGCAGTTGAGTGCATCGCCGTCCAGCCTGCCTTGCCTGCGTGCCTGAGTGCGCCCCTGGCACACGCCGGAGACGGTACGCGTTGGATCTGCTGTTCCCGGTGCGCCACTGGCCTTGGCGAGTGTGGGTGGGACCTGCCGCACATGAGCGCGCCGCCGCACGGGTGCCGCACCTGACGGGACGGTCGAGGTCACGGGGCGTCGCCCACTGCCGGCGAGACGACCGTCGAGACCTTGCTCCACTGAAGACGGGATGTGTAGCGGCGGCTTCCGGTCCGCTGTGGTCTGCGACCTGGCCCAGACGTACACGGAGACGGAAGTGCGAGCGGCCAGCTGTAGACCTCACTGCCAGTGACCTGCTGACGCACTTAGCGGCTGGGCACGACCCGGGCACGAAATCTCGGCGCTCTCGACCTGGCTGCACCTGACAGCAGAGTCTCAACACCTGAAGGCTCTCCGTCCGTCACATGATGTCAGTATACCCTTGTGTCGTGTTTCTGTGTCGTTGACCTGGTAAAGAGGTCTTGGCGTCTGCCAACTACCCTTCATGACCTAGTAACGAGGTCATCGTCATCGCCATCGTCATCGCTGTCGACCGTGTAACTGACGCGACAGAGTGTCCAGGCTTGTGTCAGCGCCGTCTTCAACGTTTCGCACCGTCCACTGGGCGAAATTGTTCGGCAGTTTTAATCCCAGGATGTTCCAGAGGCAGGCGCGTGGTCCGAACACACGTTGCACTGCCGCGCGTGTCACGGCGTCATGGAATGGGCCGGCTGGCGAGAAAGCGTGCTCCAGGGCCTCGGAACTCGGGGCCGGCCGACGAGAGAGCGTGCTCCAGGGCCTCGGAACGCGGGGCTGGCCAGCGAGAGAGCGTGCTCCAGGGCCTCGGAACGCGGGGCTGGCCAGCGAGAGAGCGTGTTCCAAGGTCTCGGAATTCGGGGCCGGTCGGCGAGAGAACGTGCTCCAAGACCTTGGAAAGCGTGCCATGCAGTATTAATGTCTGGGGTCTGAGCGGGTCTTGGTTCTTGCGTCTGTTGGAGCGTACAGTATTCTTTGCAACGAGCAAGAGGTGATCGTGAATCTATATCGATGTTTTCAACTCTGACAACGCTGCCTATGTTAAGCAGAACGTCCTTGGTCATGACGCTGAAGGTGCCTCTCTAGCTCTCTATTGGTGCCTTCACCATGCGTTTCAAACCTTATGGGAAGATTCCTAGCTTTGACTGACCCAAAAGCAGGGGAAACAGTCCGTCAGCATTGCTGTGCGGCGACTGACACCCAGTGGCCGAGGTCCTCGATGTCGAACATCGCCTCACCGCACGAACCTGCCACCGAAATATGTGCTTTACGTTTCTGATACCAGGGCATCGTGGTGAACCATGCCGATGTACGCTCATTTCTTTCAGCCCGCCTGCAGTGTCACGCCACTCGGGAAATGGCGGCTCGGCTTTCTGCCACAAGCCCTCATGTCTCTGTACGTTTGTGGACCAACAGATGTAGCCCCGGCGTTGTGGGTTAAAGCTGCGGGTTGTTTTGCCGCGTTGTGGGTCCTAGCCATTGAGGCTCCTCACTGCACCCGCTTCGTAGCGTACCATTCGACTCGTCCGCTGTAATATGATGTCATTCTTTAACCCTCGGCTCGTGTCGTGGCGCTGTGGTCAATAAGCGGCGAGGTGCCAGCGCACTGTTTCTCTAATAAAACTGGCAGACGCGTGAGCATCGCTTCAGTCCCCGACATCATTCCTCCGCTGGGTTCGAGCGGTGGTTGCACCGCAGCACGACCAGACGGGCGGTGGGAACCGTCACGACCTGCTCGCGACGTCTTCTGAACAACTTCCCATCAAACGTCGTCGATTCCGCCGCGTATTTCCCCATCACACCCGAATGGCAGCACCGCGGCGAGTCCAGCTGAAAGCCCTCAGCGACCCCCGCGGCAAGTCCAGCTGAAAGCCCTCAGCGACCCCCGCGGCGAGTCCAGCTGAAAGCCCTCAGCGACCCCCGCGGCAAGTCCAGCTGAAAGCCCTCAGCGACCCCCGCGGCGAGTCCAGCTGAAAGCCCTCAGCGACCCCCGCGGCGAGTCCAGCTGAAAGCCCTCAGCGACCCCCGCGGCGAGTCCAGCTGAAAACCCTCAGCGACCCCCGCGGCGAGTCCAGCTGAAAGCCCTCAGCGACCCCCGCGGCGAGTCCAGCTGAAAGCCCTCAGCGACCCCCGCGGCGCACGTGTCCGACTCCGTACTTCTGATGCGACTTACGCCGGCAGGCCGGCCGCCCAGTCCGGATGCATGGGCTGGGGCCAGGTGTCACTGGCGTCGGTCCCGCCAGCCAAGCCTCGCCAGGTGCACGCCGCCTGTCGTCCGCCACATGGAACATCCGTGTCACAGAAACGGTTCCCGACAGCGGCTGGCGGCGTCATCAGGTGTAGCCGACAGCGGCTGGCAGGGTCGTCGAGTGTCTCCAGCAGTGACTGGCGGCGTCATCGGGATATCCGACAGCGGCTGGCGGCGTCATCGGGATATCCAACAGCGACTGGCGGCGTCATCGGGATATCCGACAGCGGCTGGCGGCGGCGTCGGGATATACAACAGCCACTGGCGGCGTCATTGGGTGTATCTACAGGGGCTGGTGACGGCACCGGGGTGCCTGACAGCGGCTGGCGGCGTCATCGCGTTTATACATCGGCGTCTGGCGACGTCATCGGGTGTATTTGACAGAGTCTGGCGGCGGCATCGGGTGTATTGAACAGCGGCTGGTGGCGTCATCGGGTGTATCCGACAGCAGCTGGCGGCGTCATCGGGGTTATCCAGCAGCGGCCAGCGGTGTCATCGGAGTATCCGGCAGCGACTGGCGACGTCGTCGGTTGTATCCGACAGCAGTTTGCGGCGTCATCGGGGTTATCCCACAGCGGCTAGCGGCGTCATCGGGGTATCCGACAGCGGCTGGTGGCGTCATCGGGTCCACCCGGCAGCGGCTGGCTGGAAGCGGCAAGCTTGGGGGTGGCGCAACAGGCTTGTCCTTTTTAAGTGTTAATCTGAACCACCTGAATAGATGTATTTCTGGGATCAGAGCTCACGTTAAGCGATGCTTGTTATGTGAGCCCTGACCCCAACCATCCGATGGTGCAATTCCAGGTCAACGACAGAGTTTACAGGGGAAAGTTTAACTCACCGCAATGCCCAGTACGGTCGGTCCTGCCCTCTAACGTCACCTGACCTTTGGCACAGCCGCTGCCTCCGGATACAGGCCATGTCTGTCGAAAATAAATTGCGAGCGCCTAAAGCGGCTTGAGACCATCCCGCTACGGATGGCTGCATCGGAAGGCAGGCGCCTTAACCAACCGAGCTATTGAAACGTCCTTGCAGATGACGCTGGCGTGGCCACTATAGATGTCGCTACCTGTAGCGCTGCACTGTGCAGCGCCTCGGACAATGGTAACGACAGACGGGTGATGGGTGGCACTCTTATCTTCGTAGAATTTTGAAAACTGCGTCTATTTCTACGCCCGTCTGCGTGCATGCACATTTGCACTGTTCCGGCTTACGTTCTGCGCGTTTCCATGTGTCGTCGCCCCCCGCCCCATCTTGGTTCGGACGGATGAGCCCACAACGTAGTTTTCTGTTGTTTGCATTGGAAGAAATAAAGCGATGTGATGCAATAAAAAGACAGAAAACACGGTCACTCCCCTCCCCACCCCACTAAGGCATCGGTTCTGCGTCTGCCTGGTGTTTTTTTCTACAATATGATTAACGGTTTTTTAATCCATCCTTTGTAAGTGTTCATCAACGGAGGAGAAGAACGGGAAAATAACGTGATTACAAAGCCGTCTTCGCACAGCACGACTTGGGTCGTGAGTTTAGGGTACACGCAACAAACAATGCTTAGCAGGCACTCTGAGCCCAAAGCCAATCGCGCAAAATCATTTGGAATAAATGCATAAAAGGGAAAGAAAGTTATTGATATCTCATATTGAGCAGTGCGGATGGCCACTCTTAATCATAAGCATGGCTTGAAACTTGCGGTACTGCCTATGTAACCAATTGGTACTCTATAGGATCGCTTAATCAGTGCCTCGTGGTATAATGTAGGTTGATAATTTAGCCTTTCTCGTACACAGCTAAAAACGAATGCTCGCAGTGATACCAATTGTCAGTATCTGTTCACCTATCAGCTCAGCACCCTTTGAGCAAACTTGAAGTTTAAGCCTACCAAGGTCAGTGGCGAAAGACAAGTCAAGGAAGTCAACTTCTTTTAGAAAAAGTTGGCCACGCATAACTTTTTTGTGCGCTATTTGCGAATATTCAAAATTCCTGAAGTAAGTGAGCATGATAGTACCTACAGTTGTATTTCATGTTTTCAAAATAGGCGAGGTCAGTGATCAGAGGTGAGGCAAATTTTTGCAATTTTTTGCAAACTATGCAAATAAGCGCGCATTTTGCGTAGTTCTGGTGCTTGTATATGAGACGAAAGTTCTTACTCACATGTAGAACTATCATACCACCACGGAGCACATGATATTAGCCTAGGTCATCATCTTTTTCTTTGGGTGCCCTCTGCAAAACATTTGCTGAGCTCAAAATAGCGAGTTTTGATTGACAACTTTATGTGCGGAATTCGACTATTCCGCTGAAAGCATGTTGTGATATCATTTAATGCATAGTGAGGTCACAATAGACCACGAGAGGACATGCAAGGTCATTCATCCGAGGTCAGTCATCGCTATTATATTGCCAGTAGCGGAGACGCTAGATGAATGTGTGGAGCGCATGTTATCACCTCTACATCGTGTTTGTGAAGCTGATGACGTATGATTTCATTTACCAGCGTGCCTGTTCTCAGTTAGCTATAACTGCATTGCCAAGTCTCGAAAAATTATGCATAATGCTTGCAAGAGCTATGCGATCTTGAGTACCTGTAGTTGTACAACACACAATTTATGACCACAAAAAGAAAACGTTTCACTGATCACTTGGACGCGGTTAACACTACAAATGTTGTCACTAGGATGGTTTATGAATTTGGTCTTAGTTGACCTCAGCTAACCTTCAGGTCAGCCTGAAATTGTATTTTTGTTTCGGAAAACTTTTGTCCCACAGCTTCACCTAATCAAATAAACTTAGTCAGACTCACATCCGTGAAAGAAAAAAAAGCATCGTTCTTTTAGGCCACTGATAAACCAATTTTGAACGATAACCTGACCCGACCTGACCCTTGAGAGGGAATAGTAATGGTCGAAAGAACTCCCCACAGTCTTAAAGCTTGTTCTGTGGTCCCAGTGCTCGTCTTGACACGCTGACATATGATTCAACGGCATCTATCAGAACGACATTTTTCATTTCGTGACCTCCGGTGGCCTCACGTTCGACCTAATGTCAAAAATGTTGTGTATTCTTTGTGATTTGGCCAGACCTTCACAACAGAAGCCTTTTTCGCAGGACGTCTGGAAATTGGAGATCCCAGGGGACAGCGGAAGTCAGCTTCCGCTTCCCGCCCGGGCGTGGTAGTCTCAGACCATGTGGACACCCGAACCGCCGTTAGACCCGTTTAGGCCGGGCACAGGTTCAGCATTCCGCTTTTGCACCAATCCACTCATATAACATACCGCTTCATGTCCGTAATAAAAAATAAACAACAAATAAACAGACAAGCTCGGATTATTTCCCTCAATTCATGGGTTTGGCAAGAACTTAGACCTTATAACTTAGAACAAAGGGCTTTCAACGTTTTAGTAGCAACTACATTCAAGCACATGATTGTGAATGTGATGCACTCTTGGTATTCTTCCCTTGTCACCCTTAGTGATTCATAGGCATTTTGAATGAGCATTGCAATCAGGTATAACTTGTGCCACTTCGACACCCGCAACTGCGGTTAGAGCCATTTCCGCTCACATGGCGACGTGTTTGACAGCTGGATTACACTATGACCACGGTCGTAGCAAACTGGCATTGACCACGGACAGCTGATATTGCGCCATGACCACGGGCGAGGGAAAACGGAACATGAGGTGAAACCAAACTCTCGTTTGTATCCAACCGTAAACGATGACACATGACAAACTAGCATAAAAGTTGGTTTTGTTCCCCGTCGACATTCGAAGTCGTTTTTCCGCCCCTGCTCATAGCGATCAAGCGGCACGCTCTGATGACGTGGCAGCAGCTGGACGTCAATAGTCAGAGGCACACCCATTGGCGCGTGCAACAAAGCCCGGCCGCCGCGCCCAGGCGTCAGTCATGGTCAGCTTTGGGATAATAATGGCAACATGGACGTGTAGGTTTATCGTCGTCGAAGAATCTGCTTGAGAGGTTTGTCTCTAGCGAAACACAAATATATTGCGATCCTCAGCACGGACGCGGACCCCCGGCAGTACAGAGTTCCATTGAGCCTGGTTGTGCACGCCATTGCGAGCCGGCGACGAACAATCCTTAAATCGATTGCACCCATGGTTTTGGAAGAACCAAACCGCCACAGACTTACAGAATCGAAAGGTGCGAAGTCGTTGGAGAGCAGTCTGGTCTGGATAAGGCGAGTCAGAGGTGAGAGGCAGTTCTTCAAAGGCGGTCGTATATACTGCTGTTCACCGATACAAAACAAAGCCTTACAGCGAGTTCAAAACGTTTGGAGTGTGCTTGCGCTCCTGGTATTTCTGCCAGAGATTGCCACTCGCTGCTTTGAATGCAGATCTCTATGCATGGGAAACGCTTGTATT